TTCGACAATAGGATCCACTTTCCAACTTTCTACCTATGCAGGATACTATAAGAAATTCAAGGAATTCAAAAAGCATTTCGCCGATCGTACTAGGTAGTTTAAGTTATTTTCAACAGATCATCAAAGTCATACATGTCGCGGGCCGGGCCGGTGGAGGAATTTTCACTGGCCCGACCCGGCCCGGCCTGGCCCGGGTTTTTTGAGGCAAAAATTTTTAGGAGTCATTTTTTGAGAGAAACCTGGATTTTTGGGAGCATTTTTTCGAAATTTCGTTGTTTTCAGCTTTAAGAAGAGTCCTGGGATAAATTTCGTGCTTAAAAATGATTATTTTCAAAAAAACGTATTAAAAAACAACAGAAAAATTTTGAAATTTTCGGAACCCGGTCCGGCGGGCCGGGCCGAGATTTAGCAAGTATGATCAAAGTGAATAATTGCAGGTCGAGAAACAAGAGAAGAGTCAGAATTCGTACCAACAATCCGGCTCCCCAAAAAAGTGACACCTGAGAATTTAAAAAATGTTCCTTTTTTTGATCTACGAAAAAATGCGGCAAAAACGTAATGTTTCAGAATTTCAGCTCGTTCGAGCTACTTTCGCGTTTGAGTTTAGTTTTTTGCTGAAAAATAGATTCTAGAGATGCTAGCGGTCATTTTTATACCAAGAAATCAACATTTTGTTCAGAAAATCCCACTAAATTCACATAAATAAATTTGTTATCTACAGTATCCGTTTTCGCTCCGCCCCCTCGTAAATCGACACGAGCGCCGTCTCCGAGATTTTCAGGTGTCACTTTTTTTATATCCGACAATAGAGTAAATTATTTCATTCCGGAATCCGGACTCAGTTTGACTCTGCAAAGTTTTTTTTTCAAACTCGCGCGCACGAAAGTTGCAAGCGCGCTCGATTGGCCAATGAAATTTTGAAATTTTTTTGATTTTCGGAAATCCTTTTTTCAGCTAATTTTGGTGAATTTCAAGTTCTTTTTCTCAATTTTATACCTTCTCAGTGTGCACTATGGTGTGTCAAATTTTTCAATTAATATTTTTAGATCAAATTTTCAGAATGTCTGGATTCCGTCGTGGCGGTTTCCGAGGGCGAAAACGCTTCTATCGAGACAATTTCGCTCCGGGTGGCTCGAAAACCGACCCACTCAATATCAATATCGAACTTCTTGATGATCCAGAAGCTGAGAAAAAGCGTTTAGGTATTCTAGAACCAGAGGAGGTTCCCTCAAAGCGGCGAAAGTCTGACAAGGATGACAAAAAAGACGAGAAGAAAACAGGAAAGTCCCCATACAAGGTACGTTGTATAAGTCGAAATTGAATGAGTATTATAAACTTTCAGTAGAAAAAATTCCAGAAAAATCATCACGGCTCTCCGAAGAAGAAGGCTCCACCGTTGACCAAAGAACAAAAAGACGCTGCAGAGTTCCGCAAGAACAAGACAGAGTATTTTAACAGGAAATATCGATACGGAAACTTTGACAGATACTACGGAGTTCGTTTGAATCCTGGAGAATCTGATAAGCGGCTCACAGTCTTCGACAAGCAGTGGTTCGAGCACAAGCAGATTCTTGATATTGGTGAGGAGCAGGAAATTTTTCAGCTCAACAAATAATTTTTCCAGGTTGTAATGTTGGCTTTCTAACACTCTCGATTGCTAAGGATTTTTCTCCGCGACGAATCCTTGGTATCGATATCGATGAGCACTTGATCGGTGTGGCTCGCAAGAATATCCGCCATTATTGTGATCATGAGACAGAAGTAGCTGGAAAATTTCCTGCTTCATTTGGCGTTCAATTTGGTACAATTTCACAAAGAACTGAGGCGCCTCGTTCGTTCTCTACCAAGTTTCCGGATAATATCTGGTTTAAGAAGGAAAATTATGTGATGGAGAATGATGAGATGCTCGATATGATTCAACCTGAATTCGATGTTATCCTCGCTCTTTCGATTACAAAATGGATTCATTTGAATTGGGGAGACGATGGGATGCGACGGTTTTTCAAGAGAGCTTTTGCACAGCTCCATCCAGGTAAGACACATTTTGTTTGTACTTTCAGAAAGTTGGAGAAAGTGCATGCGGACTTCCTCCTACCGTAATCCTTCAAAAATTGTTACTCGTCTAAAATTTGAAATGTTTTCCACAGCCTTGCTGAATGTTCGCACTTTCTATTTGTTTTCAAAATGACATTGCGTCAACTAGATACAAACATGTCTAAAGCCCAGTAGCATTCTGTAAAACCTGTATTAGAAGGGCACCTTTAATAGAAAAGCCCCCCTCCATAATGTGCTGTTTGAAAGTAAACATTTCCACACGTTTTGATTGGAAAATATCCCGGAAACTTTCACAGAAATTTGTTGAAACAGTCGTTTTTGCCCAAAAAACTGGAACAATAGTAGGGCCGGCCCTTCTAATACAGGTTTTACGGTATTCTCATTTTTCAGGTGGTCGCCTCATCATCGAGCCTCAAGCCTTCGAAACGTATCGAAAACGTGCCAAGATGTCGGAGGAACTGAAAACGAACTACTCAAAGATCGAATTCAAACCCGACGATTTCGAGATGTACCTCATCGAAACGATTGGTTTTGAATCTGTCGATAAATTGGGTGTGTCTGGTGCCAAATCAAAAGGATTCGAACGACCAATCGATGTGTACCTGAAACCAGTTAGACCCAAAACAGACGCCATCCCATTGGGATACATTTGAATTTTTTTCAATTTTTACCCATTTTGTTTTCTTCTAATCGGTGACCTTAATTTTATTATTTATTTGTGATCTGAATAATGCAAATTTTTACTAAAAATAAGAATTTCTGATATATTAATTTTCAATTTGAGTCACTTATTCTTCAGTAAACCACTGGTATTTCTTTCAAAAGGATATATCGATTACACAAAAAAATACGAACGGGTGTGTGTACTCAAGCAATTTCGCTCGTGCTCCTGTCACTTTTCACCCCACACAACAACTGGAACATTCTCGAAGTGTCCAGCCCCCTCGCTTATTAATCTCTGCGTCTCCAATTTTCTCCATATCTCTAATTCTCTCATTGCCCCTTGTTGTCTCTTCATCTGTGTCCGAAAGGCGGTTCTCTGTCTCTCTCATCCCAGTCCTTTTGCCAACGCTTTGTTGTTTTGTCGAATTGTTACTTTTTAGTTTGTGGTGTCTTGTTTTTCGAGTTTCAGAGAACTTTTTTAGCCAAAAAGCAGTTAAACGTTTTTACAAGCTCAGCAACTCTTTCAAAAGTTAAGCTCCCTCTCCGACAAGCAAAAAAAAAAGAAAAAAATTGTGTAAAATTTCGAGAAAAAGCGGATTATATCGACTTTCTTTTTTCCGTCCTGAACATCAGGCATGTGAGTTTTCGCATTCTTTTGTTTTTATGTATTCTTTATGACGCTTTTTCTTCTCCGCGAATGATTTTTTATTTTTACAACTTTGTTCTTGGAAACGGTATAACCTTTCCACTCTGAATCACAATGCAATCAGCGTTATGCCTTCTAAATACGCAATCAAACTTATTGAAGAAATTTCTCTTCTTTCAGTCATATGTTTAATGAAAATAATTAATTTCGATTTGTATTGACATAAAGTGTATTGAAAGGACAATGAATTGATTTTCTTTTGTTGTGCAGTGTAGCGGACCCAGAAAAGTTTTGGCTATTTTTATTCTTTTTTCTTTCGAATCTCGTTTTGTCGAATGAAAAACAAAAAAACACGAATGCTCGGAACGGAATTTTTCTGAATTATTGTCTTTCAGACTACGTTACGTTGAAGGCGCACTCGAAAATTTCGCATGCTGGTATCGAGCGGAATTATTTTGAGCGGTTTTTTTGAATTTTCGAAATCTTTTTCTCCCAATTTTTCGCATTTTTGTGATAGCAAATTCCGAAAAAAGCCATTCCGACCATCTCTGATGCAAAAGAAAAGTACCATCCTATCTTTTATACATATTTTTGTATACTACGTTCCTTTTTTCTTATCAGTGTTTATATTTTGTTGAATCTGCCATCTTTTTTCGAATTTTCTTCTTTTTTTGTCACCAACATTTCTGTATTTTTATTATACTCTGCCTGATAACACATTGTGTGTCATGAATCATTTTTTTTTCTTTCTATACAAGTTTTTGGTAATTTTGTGTTCAATTTTCTTTTTTTTTTCAGCCGTCTTCTCGCCTACTCGAACTATAAACTTGTTCTCAAGAACAGACATGTTTAACGATGATGATGACTTTCCAATGGGAGCTATGCATAGTTTTGGGTAAGATATTACATTTTGAAATTTTGAAAAAAAATAAAGTTTAACATTTTCAGCCAGATGCATCATCAAATGATGAATGATATGAACATGATGACGGGTGGAATGCTTCGAAATATGGGAATGGGTGGGTTCCCGGGACCATTCGGTCATCCATTCGGTGGACTCATGGGCCACCCCTTCGGAGCCATAACAGATGGAAGTGGTCAACCGGCAACTCGAAGACGTCAAGAACTAGAAATGAATCCATTTGCTCCATTTGGAGGGCTTTTGGGTGGAATGGGAGGCATCAGAATGCCACCACCAGGACAAGGTACCAATATGTTCATGAGTTCAAGTGTGATGACTATTGGACCCGATGGAAGACCACGTGTCGAACAGCAAACAGTCAGAAAGCATGGAGATGTCACCGAGACGAAGCGGTAAGCGCGTCGTTCCAGCATTTTTATGTTATTTGTTCTTTTTCAGACGCGTTGACAAAAACGGCGAATCATCGATGTCAATTGGTCATTCGATTGGAGATCGATCACATTTCATTGACAAGAAACGGGATCGTGAGGGAAATGTTCGAAAACAACAGAGATTTGTGAATTTGGATGAAGGTAATAGTATTTTATATAATTGTTTATGGGTTGGAAAGTTTCATTCCTTGTTTTTCGAAGTTTATAACACCGCCACGGGGTTCGCACTGCTATAATATGCTGTTGCGCTCCAATGAGAAAGTGACGTGGCAAAGTTTTAGGCCCTTGAAAAATGAATTTTGAGCTGAAATATTAATTGAAAATTGCGAGAAATTTGGAAACTTTCTTAATAAAGCGCAACAGCATACACCAGTAGTTCAATACCTGGGCACCACACAAGTTTCTATTCTTGTTTCATAAATTGCCCGTGGGTGTGGTTGCTTTTTGCCTCTCTTTTTCTCCGGTCAATTGTCAGCCAGCTGTCTTCTTCTTCTCCTCAAAATCACCTTTTTCAAAAACCAAAAATCTCGTTTTTTTCTATCACCCTGAAATTCCCGCTTCCGCGGGAGCGAAGCGATAACAAGAAAATCCATTAGGGCAATCCCTCGTTTTACAGCCAATGCCGAAGCATTCGATCGCGAATTCTCATCCAGAGTGCGACAAGGAGGATACGGGGGAGCCTCTAGAAGCAGCAACTTGAGAGAAGTTGAAGATTCTAGCAGACGGCCTTCAGGCTTCAGAAGAACTGAGGATCGTACGTCGTCGAGTCGTGGAGCTCCAATTGTGACGTTGCCAGAGGAGGAGGAGACATCACAGTATGTCGATTATTACATTTAGAGGAACAAAAATCAAATATTTTAAGAATCCTCTGTTATCACAAAACTCCATATTTCTCTCAATTTAGAACACCCTTCATTTGAAAAAAAACCAAGAATCAAACTATTCCTTCTCGAAAACGAAAAACGTTATTATAGTGACCTTGACCTAATCAGTTAAAAAAAGGAAACCGATTAATGTCACTTCGAAAAATTGATATGAAAAGTTGTTACTGTAGCCAATTTCATCAGCCCAATCAATCATCCAGTGCTGACCAGAAACATATGAAAAACGCCATTAAAAAGTCGACTGAAAAAATCCATTTTTTGCAGATCTCGCTCATCTCCATCCCGCAGAATTGGAGGACCATTGATTCGAGAGATCAGTGAAGAAGAGGCCGAGCAAGCGACATCTTCAATTCCAAAAAGACGTCGTGGACAGATCTAAATACTTAAATCTCCCTTCCTAATTTGCAATTATATCTCAAATTGAGATCACCCCTTTTCTTCCTCTTGTCCCATTTTTTGCCCTAAAACGACCATACGCACTCTCTCCGAAAGAACACATCAGGAAATCCAATTTTACCTTCATGTTTCTCTGTATATTTCAAATATATATTTCGTTTACTCAATGAGTATTACTCATCACATCTTCTCAACGTTCATGATGTAGTTGTAATGCTTCCCCCTCTCTCTCTTGTGATTAGATGAATTCGTTGTGAATTGAAATAGAATTTTCACCGAGCAAGTAAGGCGCGAGAATATTAAATTAGGCGCTCACTCTCGTCCCGTTTTCTGCTGCTCCATGAGGCACACGGAGCAGTCTTTTAAAGAGAGAGTGACGAAAACAGAGAGAAAATAAGAAAAACAGAGAGGAATGTTTATACGGAAAACCGAGTGAAGAGAGGACACTGTTTCTTCTGTTTTGTCCTTTTCTTTTCGCTCTTTTCTTCGATTCCACCATCCCATTCTCCGCTTTCTTCTTCTTCCTTTTTCTACACACTTCGCAATGACCCGTCCGAAAAGTTGAGGCTGTTCTTCTCTCGAACTGTCTGCGTCTCCTCGATTCCCGTTATCTCTCGTCGTCTCTTGTTCATCATCATCATCAGCAGCGAGAGGGGGGAGCGGCATCCAATACAAACCGGCTGTTTTTCTATTTTTTTGGCTTTTGTTACGTGTTGAAAAAATTGATATAGATTTTTTCCTTTTTTCTGCCTTGGGTTTCCTAGAAGAGAAGAAGCACGAATTCTGAATTTTTCAGCTCGCTTTTCTCCTTTTTTTTTCGGTTGAAGCAAACAACAAGCACGTGGAAGTGTTTGTGGCTTGAAACATAATTAAGCTGCTTCGGGTAGAATCGACAACGATTTTTACTTATATTTTAGACTCTTTGAATGGAGAAAAAGGGGAGAACAGTCAAAGCTTTAGTGATGAGTCACCATGAATAACCAGAAATTATCTATTTTCAGTTGTTTTATTTTGTTTTTCAATCCGAAAAAATTCTGAATTTCCCATCAATAATGGCAAAAAACCGGTGAAAAATTGACAAGCAGATTTGGGAAACGCAAAGAACTACCGTTAAAAGTTGTTCCACTCGAGACCCGCAAGAGGACTTTTTGCTTGCGTCTTTGACATACCGTAGTTCAAAAAGCTCTAATTTCGAGAAAAAACTTTGGAAATCGTCTGAAAATGGTTGGAATACGGAAAAAAAAACAATTTAAAATTAACCAGATACTCTGCCATAATTTAAATTTTTATATTCTGATTTTTAAAAATTGCCCTTCTTCGTCGATTTCTAAATTTTTAAGATTTTCCACAAATTCTGAAACATTTTTTCTTTCATTTTTTTTCATGAGTAATTGACCCTATTCCTCTTATTTTGAATTTATTTTTCTCCAATTCTTAACCTGTCCCAATTAAATTCACCAAAGTTTCAGATCTATGACAGTAGCAAACAATGGGATGGCTATGCCAGCGTCTCCTCCGAAAATCGATTGCTCTGAAGCAATTCAGGTAAAAAGTTTCTATATTTTTCAAAAAGATCTTTCATCACTAAAAAAATGTTAAGGACTCACCGAGATTCCGTGCCCAAGTCTCTCAACATACCGCATATTTCAATCGTCTCGAGAATCGACTGAACGAGATGCTTCGCCACATTTCAGCTATGATGGAGTTCAGCAAAAACTATGTTAATACTTTCTAGTGAGTTCAAAAATGAAGGAGGGAAGTCATTGAGCTTTAAGTTTTCAGTAAGCTAACAGTATCCGTGAATCAACTGTGCGATGAAAGTTTTTCTGGGAATCCATTGGCTGCCAACACATTTCAAGGACTTTCAGATGCTTATGGACAAACTGTGAACCTATTCAGGACGTATTACGATCATTCGAATGTGGTGATCTACACAAAACTATCGAATTTTATCAAGAAGTGAGTTTTAGAAGTTTCAAATTACCGTAAGACCTGTATTAGAAGGTCCCTTTAATAGAAGGGCTCTCAGGAGGCACTTTGGAACAATAAAATGACCGGCTCTTCTAATAAAGGTTTTACGATAAAAAGAGGATATGATAATATGGAAGTGGTTTCGACAGCAGCATTCAAAAAATTTCTCCTATTACAGTGAGCTAACAAAAGTGGCAGAATCGCGTGCTCATTTCGAAAACATGTCCCAATCGATGGATGAGGCTTTAGTCAAAAATGCAGGAATATCTAGGCAAAAACCAGCAGATGCCACCGAAGGAAGAAACGCGTTGACTGCTGTGAGTCGGATGATCTAGGATAAAAATATTACTCTGATATTTGAAAATTGAACTTTTGGATTCACAACGACAACTTCAGTAACCTAAGAATGTTTTAATTTTTTCTTTTCATTCAATTTTCTCACTATTCAATAACTATTTTCCGCCTTTTCTAAGGAAAAAAAAAATAGAAAAATCGAAGAAAATCAGTAAAAACGAGAAAAATAGTTGCTCAAAAAAGGGAAATTTTTAGACCTTTTTAGGTTTTTCAGCTATTTTTAAAAATCCTTTTTCGATTTATCCGAATTTTTAGTCTGAAATTTGATAAAAAAATGTTTTGATTACTGTAGATTACTTTAGAAACCTAATTTCCTGTTTTATTTTTGCAAACAGAATCACGCCAAAATGCAGATAAATTTTGCTCGCAAAAAAACTACAAACTACTAGGTTTTCTACAGTAATCTTCCGTCAAGAACACCAAATTTCAAACAAAAAATTAGGAAAAATCGGAAAAGAATCTTCGAAAAAAAATAAAAATCCTTTAAAAAGTCTAAAACTTTCACAAAAAATCGAAGAGAAAATCAGTTTGTTTTCTCTCAAAAATTCAAAAAATTCTGTAAAATGTCTTAACGAGGCCAGACACCAAAAAAAAAAGTTTTCCTGATATTTTGCATAGAGAATCCCCATGAGGGGTTGAACTCATGACAGGCAGCTCAGGGGTACAGCGCCGCTACCGGCTGAGCTACGGGGCCGCGAAGGCGCATGACGACCGATGGTCTACATAAGCGCGGCTCGATTTCGTCCCCCGAACTGTCCCCCGAAATTTTTGCTGGTTCGCCTCCTTTATAAATCATGAAAAATGATCAAACAAAAGGCTAAAATTAGTCTGAAAATGGGCAAAAAATGTATAAAATCACTGAAAATAGTTCAAAAATCGCAGAAAAAAAAATAGAAGAACCATTTTTTTCTTGACTAAAAACGATCCGAAAAATGCAAAGAAATACGCTTTAGACTCGATTTGAACCTAAAATAGCTGAAAATTCGGTTATCTGGCTGAAAAATGACTGCAAACTCGACGAAAATCAGAGAGAATCAAGAAAATAAATCCGGAAAATGTACATATTCCTAGGTTACTGTAGTTTTCTTTTCTTCCCCACAGCTCCGTTTTTTACCAAAGTAATAGAAACGCTCTTTTACCCGAACACTTTGGCCAAGGTTAAGACAAACAAAGTTATATTCCAGGTCGGTACTTGTTTCGCGCACACAACTCTCGACTACGTGGCAAACATCAATATAGCGCATGCCCATAAGGATCACATGATACTGGATGCTGTGAGTTTTCTTAAAAATTCAGAAACCATTGAAAATTAGTGAACTGAAAAAAGAAACAAAAAATGTTCAAAAGGGAACCAGCCACATAAGGAAAGAAAAAATTGCGAAAGGCCCAGTCGGTCTCTCCTTTTTTCCATTATTTACCTAGCATTTTTGATGACTCGCACTCCTCGAAATGCTCACTCCTTTTTCCCCCTTTTTTCCCTTTTTTGAGAACGAAAAAGTATTGAATTTCACTGTTAAGCTAGATACCTTTCAGGGTGCTTGGTAGGAGAAATGGATCGCGATTATGAAAAGAGTTATAAAATTTTAATCGAGAAGTTATTGATAAAGACAGTAGCTTATGTTGAGATATTTAGAGTTATCGTAAAATGACATGTGAGATAAGATTTAGTTGTCTTGAGCAAAAGGGATAATTTTCTAGTCATTCAAGTATACTGTACCGATTAATAAGATCGTACTTTTCAGTTTATTTTTGGCCATTTTGACCATTTTCAGAAGCCTGGAGATCGGCTGTCAAGCTTCCAACTACTTTCAAAATTTTAAAAGTTATAAAACAGACTTAGATTAAGAACTTTGCATTCACAGAATTTTTTGAAAATTCCCAGTTATTCAGCTATTGTTCGATTTCTGAAAGACCCTTTTTAGGTTTTTTTTAGTACTGAAAACATAAAAACAGGTGTCTTTCTGAAATCGTCAAATAGCTGAAAAAAAAATTCGAAATTCCAGGTCCTAAATTTGAGATTCTTGACTCCAAAATAGCCGATTTTTAAGCTCAATAATTTAAATTAAAATAGGGAATTTTCAGAATAAAAATTGAGGTTTTTCAGTTGAAAATAAGAGATTTATAGATCAAAAACTTGGATTTCCTCGTCCTGAATAGACATTTTTAGGTTCAAAATTATCTGAGATGTTGTGGAATTTCTGGAATACTTCAAATTGAAAACAACACATTTTAAAGGGAGCCCTCTCGGAGCGCCCTTCTATCAGAGGGGCTCTTCTTCTAATACAGGTTTTACGGTGATTTAATTGACCATAAAAGGAACATAAGCCTATCCCAATGAGCCAAAAGATTCTCCTCTTGAGTCTTCTTTCAAAATGCAAAAATCTACAAATCTAATAACCTTCTCTCTTCTTTTTCCAGCTGTGGACCCTGGTGCGCGAATCGTCGGCGTTTTTCTCCAAAGGACACGCCACATTCGACGAGTGGACGGTAGCGGACAACGGAGCAGTCGCCGATACAATTCAGACATTTGCGGCCAAATCGAAATTGATCGAGAGGAAAATGCAGGATGTTCATTCGTTAGTGCCAAAGGTTAGTGCGGATAAGAAACCAGAGTGATAGGAGTGTTGTAACAAATTCTAAGAATTTGTAAAACTAAAAAACAAAAAATCGAGAATCACTAAAAAATAATGACACTTGTTTACCACAACATGAAGTGTCCCCTGAAATGGATCTCCAGTGACTAATTCATCTATATTATGCCACGTCATCATGATGCCATCTATCAGAAAATCCTGGTTTATAAACAGGGTGTTCCTCTCGATTTCATCACAGAAACCGAATTATAAACAAAAGGGTCTTCCCCGATTATTCATAAATTCGTCGTTCGATTTGATTCCTACTAAAAACCTGTTATAGAAGGGCCTTTAACTTTGAGCCAATTTATCTCGGTTCCTGTTAAAGATATGAGAAAGTTGTCAACTGATAAATTGTTTATCATAATATAAGAAGAGTTTTATCAGTTGACACATTTTTGATATCTTGTATGAGAAATGAGATAATAGAGCTCAAACATTACAGTGTGGCGTGGGTGACCTTCTATTACAGGTTTCACAGTAATCAAACTAGCCTCAGATTAGAAAAAAATAAGACTGACCGAAAATTGGACAAAAATGATAATTAACAAGCGGTTTTTTTTCTGAAAATTCCCAAAGAGAACTGCGGGCAGCAAAAAAAGAGAACGACAAATATATAAACTGTGTCTCCACTCCCCTGTGTCTCGATTTATGGCTTCCTCTTTTCCTGCATTTTGTCCACCATATTCATCCGAAAATCGTTTTTTCATGTTTCTCTTGTGATTGCCCAATAGAAAAGAAGAAACGAGACACATTGATGATTCATCCCCTCTCAGTTTACTTGATGTTCTCTCTCTATCTCCAATTGTTTTCTTTTTCATTTCCTCTATTCGGTTTTTTCGTTCAATCTACTATCTATTGGATTACGGTAGCACATGACCACTATCCTTTCATTTTGCACACAGCAAAATTTGCATAAGAAGATTAATTTTCGCCCCGTGATCTCTCTGTTTTTCTCGTTGTTCCAGTCTTTCTGCGCTTTTCAGCCCACAGACCCGGCATTCCATGAATCACACACCTTTTTTGATAATTTTGTTATCAGTCAATTTTCGTTTCAATTTGATTATTTCCGCTGTTTTTAGAGCGGGTACTAGAATTTTCGATTCATGTAACTTTTAGTTTGATCAGCCGTTTTTGCTGCAAAATCATCTGATTGCCATGTTGGGCACAAAGTTCTAGAATAGTACCCGAACTTTCTGTCTGAAATTTGACGGGATGATTTTCCTGACGGAAGATTACTGTAGATTACTGTAGAGAACGAATTTCCTTTTGTAATAAAAGTGTTGTAATTTTTGGACTATTTTAATGATTTTAGACATTTTTTGCCCATTTCCAGACTAATTTTAGACATTTTTTGGGTAATTTTTCATGATTTTTTGCGTTTTTTTTCGAATTTCAAGAGAATTTGTTACAGAATTTTTTTCGGATTTTCGACAAAAATACAGCGATTTTTTCGACGATTTTTCGCGAAAATTTTTATACCTTTTTAGGGTTTTCAGCTATTTTTGAAGATTCTTTTTCGATTTTTCCGAATTTTTTGTCTGGAATTTGACGAAAGATTAGTACTGTAGATTACTGTAGAAAACCTTGTAGTTTGTAGTGTTTTTGCAAGCAAAATCGCCTACACTTTGGCGTGATTGTGTTCGCACAAAAAAATACAAAAGGAATTCGGTTTTCTACAGTAATCTACAGTAATCAAACACCGCTCCATCATATTTCAGACAAAAAATTCGGGAAAATCGAAAAAGAATCTGCGAAAACAGCTGAAAGGTCTAAAAAATTTGGTTTTTCCTCTTGAAAAGAAGAAAGATGAACATTTGTGAAAATATTAGATTTTCACTAAAACTAGCATTCTTCAGAATCCACGTATCGGTGGCGAAATAGCTTGTGTAATCTTATCAACCATACTACTAGAGGAGTCATAATTTCGTATACATGCAAACAAGCAAAACAATACTCTTGTTCCGTACTTCCTTTTCTTCTTTTTCTTTTTCTTTTTATACTTCAACAACGTTCCCACTGATCAGAATGCCAACGTCTTCTCTTGCCACATCATCGACCTCATCGTCCTTCTCCCTCTCCACTACCCACACCGTCCACGAACTCATCACATTCTTTAGTTGTGAAGAGGATGAAGAGGAAAACTTGCCATGTTCCTCTTCTTTCACTAGAACTCATTTTGATAAGTCTGGAATCCGAACTTCGAAAGTTATCACTAGAACAGTTGCGATCAGTCCAGAGACTAAACGAAAAATGATGAGGATGGAAGAGGAGCGAAGAGAAAGGAGAGTGCAGTTGGAGTTGGAGAAATCTCAGATTCGAGCAGCACAAAAAGTTAGAGAGGCACAAGAAATGAATGCAACAAGAAATTTGAAAGAGTCAGGATCAAAGCGAAGTTTAGTGCGAAGAGCAGCAAAACGGACAAAAGGGAAAATTGCAAGTATTCTGATAAGAGATTCGTCGCGAGATGATACTCTTGGAAGATCAAAACGAGGAAATTCACTTGAATGGGACAACTCTGCGGGGTGTTCCAGTCGGTTCCCAGAGACGTTCTCGGACTCGAGATTACTGGTAAATACCTTTCTTCTAACATTGAGCAAATTTATCTCGTTTCTGTCAAAGATATTTAAAAGTTGTCGAATGATAAATTACTTATCATAATACCACCAATATTTTATCAGTTGACCGATTTTTGATGTCTTTTGCAGAAACCGAGATAATTGAGCTCACAGTTGACAGTGTGGGGGCTTTAGAGAAATATATATAACATCAATAAACTTCCAATGACCAAAAGAGCAATAATGACTTCGAGAAATCGTAATTCTAATTTCTTTGAATTTTCAGGAAATGTTCCAACACCCATCTGGCATGCCGATTGAACCTGATGTGATGATGGAAGGATATCTGTACAAGCGGTCTTCGAACGCATTCAAGACATGGAATCGGAGATGGTTTCAAATTAAGGATAAACAATTGGTGGGACTTTTAAATTACACATTTTAAAACCCCGTTCATTATAATGGTACAAAAACATTATAATGATCTGTGAAGGTCCCACAACGACAACTACCGCAACCTAAAAATAGTATTATTTTCCGGATTTATTATCTCGATTTTCAGTGTTTTCCGTCAAATTTTCTGTTAATTTTCCAAAAAAAAAAAAACTGAAAATTCAAGGTTTTGATAGTGATAAAAGTGACGGAAACTGCACGAAAATCAAGAAAAAAAATTTTTTTTCTTCGATTTTTGCAAAATACGTTTTTAGGATTTTCAGCTATTTTTGAAGATTCTTTTTCGATTCTTCCGAATTTTTTGTCTGAAATTTGACGGGATGGTGTTTTTAACGGAAGATTACTGTAGATTACTGTAGAAAAACTTGTAGTTTGTAGTTTTCTTTGCTAGTAAAATTGATCTGCATTTTGACGTGATTGTGTTTGCGAAAAAAATACAAAAGGAAATTAGTTTTCTACAGTAACCAAAACACCGTTCCATCAAAATTCGGACAAAAAAACCCAGAAAAATCGAAAAAGAATCTTCAGGAATAGGTAAAAAAAAACTAAAAAGGTCTTGAAATTTCCCGTTTTTCTCTCGGAAAATCCTTAGGTTACGGTAGTTGTCGTTGTGGGACCTTCGGTCACGGCCACAGCTCCGTACTAATTTTGGTCAATAGGAAAAAACATACAATGTTGTGAAATTGAGAATTGCAAAGTGTTCTGAGGAAAAGTTAGGTCAATAAATATATTTTCAGCTCTACTCCCACCGATCAAGCGATCTGGAACCACCGACAGTAATGGAAGAAAATCTTCGAATCTGTCTCGTCCGACCTGCTCCATCGAACATTGACCGAATCGGTTGCTTTGAACTAGTCACTCCCACCCGTATCCACCTCCTCCAGGCTGATTCTGAATCCCTGTGCCAAGATTGGATGAGAGCATTGCAACGAACTATTCTGGCTCTCCATGAAGGAGGCGATTCTACAGATGCCGACTCGTCGAGTCCACGAAACAAAACAGTGTCTGCTTCTTCAAATGTGTCAGCATCCAACGCAATCTCGCCAACTTCGAATCAACTGGATATCACTAAAGGGCGATCTGTATCAGATCCTGCTTCTACTTCTGGTAGTAAGTATCCATCCATCCTATAAAAAGTATGTAATTCTTCCAGGCACTTCAACCAATATCCCATTCGTCGCATCTTCCACATCTCAACCATCTTCCACCGCTTTCGAACAAATCCGTCGGGTCCCTGGTAATGAAGTTTGCGCGGATTGTGGATCACCTGCCCCGAAATGGGTCAGCATCAATCTAGGAGTGATTCTGTGCATAGAATGTTCTGGAGCTCATCGATCGTTGGGAGTGCAGGTTTCGAAAGTACGATCATTGTGCATGGATTCGATTGACAACGAGTTGAGAGATGTTCTTCTATCGTTAGGAAACCGTCAAGTGAACGCTATCTTCCTTGCCCATCTTCCAACTTCTCCTGATGCCGTTGTTCCACCACCAATCAATGAAAAATCAGCTCGTCCGGCTCGAGAAGCATGGATCAAAGCGAAATACGTGGAACGACGATTTGCCGTTTCTGAAGATACCCGAGCTAGAAGTTCTGCAAATAGCCGACAGGAACATCTGGTACACAAGACGAGTATAGAAGGAAACGCCAATGGAGTCAACCGAAGTTCCTCATATGCAAATGTTCAGGATGCAGATCAACACAGTGGATTATTAGATGCTGATCCGTGGTCGGCAGATCTATCGATCCCCGTTTCTCCAGCTTCGAAACGGTTATCAGCGTGTGGCTCTGACACTAACCTAGAAGCTATTGGCAACTCAATAGATGCGAAAACGGTGGATTGGGAGTCAATAAAAGAGGCATGCGAGTCTGGAGATCTTCTTGCTCTTCTACGAGCACACGCTCAAGGATTCGACCTTATGGCTCTTCACAATGGAACTACTGCTCTGCACATCGCTACGAGAAGTGGACAAACCGCTGCTGTTGAATTCTTATTGCTCAATGGAGCTAAAATTAATATGTTGGATGAGAAATTGAATACACCACTGCATTTGGCTGCCAGAGAAGGACACACATTGTAAGAGTTGTTTCATTGAGGAGTCCTAAAATATTAATTCGATTTCAGACAAGTGTGTCAATTGCTGAAACGTGGCGCTGATAACAACCTGGCCAATGTTGACAGTAAAACTCCATTGGATATTGCCATGGAGTGTACGCATGCAGATATTGTTACATTGTGAGTTTTGAAAACTACAGTAATTTCTGAAAACAAAGAAATTGCAGATTTCGAGTGACAATAATGCGAAACGAGTTCAATGCCGACTTCAACAACCCGATGGATGAAACTGTGGAAGTAGTGATTTCAGATATTGCTCGACGAGCTGCCACTGAAAAAGAGCAGAAGAAGACAGCGTCGTTGAAGGAGACTTCAGAAACAAGCCAAATCTAGTCAGAATGATCAAATTGCCTTCTCTCTATACTTTTCGCCATAATTTCCTTTCCGCTTTGTTTTTCCTCTATTGCTTTGTACTTTTATCTTTTCACAAAAAAACACCTCTGTCTGTAAATATGCCTTTCAATTCTCACTTTCCTTTTTTCTGTCTATCGTTTCCTGAGAACATATGAATGCTTGGAACTTTTCAAAAACAAAAAACAGGTTAATTGTATATTTAATTTATTAGATGAGAAGATTAGGAAAATAATTGACAGATTTGCAAGGCACAGGAAGAAATGGTTTAATGAACAGATAAAGAAGGACAGATTGTAAGAACAAAATTTAAATAGAGATTACTGTAGTTATTGATTTGGAGAAGAGGTGGACGATGAACTGCTTGGAGACGATGATGAAGAAGACGACGCCTTCGATCTTTTGACGATTTTGAACTTGGAGTAGTCTGGCTTGACACGTGGCACTGTGGATGATGATCCTTTGGTCTTGGACATGGCATTGGCGAAGAGTTGATTGGTTTCCGATTCTTTTCGTTGCTCAATGATCATCTTCTGAAGTTCCACGAATTCAGGTTTGAATGAAACATGAGCAGTATGTTCTCCATTCTTCGCAAGTCGCTGTTGAGCCTGGATATTCTCCTTTCTTCTCATGGCATCAAACTTTCGAAGAAGATCATCAGCCATATATTGATAGAGTTCGAAGTTGTTCTTCCGGATGACTTGTTCGGTGAGACAGTCTTCGAAGACGCGGATTGGACAATCGATTTCACGAAGCTTATGAAGAGCATGAATCTGTCTAGTACCAATTACCAACATCTCGGTGTAATGGCGGACGTAGTCGTGGGCCGAACAACGCTTCTGAGCTTGTCTGACGGCTGGAATGGCCGAGGATCTAGACTTGCAGACAGTGTTGGATGGCATAGTATATAATAGGAAGAGAATGAGAGCTGGTATTCAGATCAGAATGAGTTGATGAATGAGTGAACGGTGTTCTCCTCTGCCAAGTGGGCCGGGCTTCGCAATCCAGGTGGGGCTACTCGCATAGNTATATCCGGCGTCTTCACCTATTACGACCCTTTTATGGGGAACATCGGTCTTTTACAGGTAAAGAGGGAATCAAGATTAGACAATGGGATAAACGACATGAGTTTAAAATTGAGGAACTGACTGAAAAGAGCTGAATAAAAAAATCTGGAAATGAGTAACTAGAATATGAACTCAATTGGATTGAAAAAGGAATTCTGAAAATGAGGTATTATTCAGAAAATCGGTATTTGTTTTCTATGTTCTTCTTTTATTTTTATAATTTCAGTCGTTAGTCCAAAGAAACCAAAGAAGGTTAAGAAGGCCGAGGAGGTTAAGGACGATAAGCAGCCACAGCAACCAAAACAACCAATGGTTACAAAGGAGAAGAAGGAGCCAAAGCAGAGAAAGGCATCTAAGCAACCAAAGAAGAATTCGAAAAAGGATTCAATTGAGGCTGAAGAACGCTTCGCCTATGAACCAAAACGTTTGGTAAAGTGTATTATTTGTTTCAAATACTATGTAATATTTTTAAAATATTCTCGAAGATAATGTCAAGACCATCAAAATAAAGGCCAATTCGGTGCTACATCCAGGAATGGTCTTCGCGGACAGAGGGCCATTGGTCATCCACCTCTGCTACGAGTGTCGTCTGTTCAATGCATTGAAACCAGCCAAGGATGTCGGGTCAGGAAATGTTCAATTGCCCTTGGGAATGTGTACCATTTCCCGGAGTCATATGAATCGTCAGCCTTAATAGAGTTATTTTTAAATGCTTTTTACGGTACGGGAAATTTCAAAATACGGGTTCACTAAACAACGCGCACTACGACGCTCTGCTCGTATTTTCCGACCAGATCTGGTGAAAGTCCAACCAGATTCGGCTAATTTTCCAACCAGATCTAGCCATTTCTGCTCCGGAATTTTCCCGAATCTGGTTGGAAAATTACTCGAATCTGGTTAGAAACCGATTACCAGAGAACTACACCGGCTGTGATTTTATTTTTTTAACTAATAGCTACATATAATTTGTGACAAAAGTATGAAAGACAAGCTTAAATCTCGAATGCTTAAATTTTCAGCCGCCGTTTGTACGCTTTTCGGCAACCCCGCCTAATTAGAAATCTGGAAAGTGATACAGATAAAATATTTGAAAGCAATATTGGGAGAATGGTGGAGATTATGACAGAAAATGACAGTATGATGCTTGTACATAGTAGCCCTAATGAATTTCCAGTTTATTCAGAGCTCCAGAAAACCTCCTGCATAATGTCTAGGTTATTCGACCTAACTTCCCAAATAATTTGATATTCTAGCTACCTCTTTTCAGAGTTCCTTTTTTTAATTGCCCTCTCGTCTCTTTCATTTATCCCCTAAAATTTACAACTATGTCGTTTATCCTATCGTCTAATCTTGATTCCCTCTTTACCTGTAAAGGACCGATGTTTCCCATAAAACGGTCGTAAACCAATTAGCTAGGTGAAGACGCTGGATAAAACTACATATGTGAGTAGCCCCACCTGGACTCCCAAGCCCCGCCCACTTGGCAGAGGAGAACACCGTTCACTCATTCATCAACTCATTCTGATCTGAATACCAGCTCTCATTCTCTTCCTATTATATACTATGCCATCCAACACTGTCTGCAAGTCTAGATCCTCGGCCATTCCAGCTGTCAGACAAGCTCAGAAGCGCTGTTCGGCCCACGACTTCGTCCGCCATTACACCGAGATGTTGGTAATTGGTACTAGACAGATTCATGCTCTTCATAAGCTTCGTGAAATCGATTGTCCAATCCGCGTCTTCGAAGACTGTCTCACCGAACAAGTCATCCGGAAGAACAACTTCGAACTCTATCAATATATGGCTGATGATCTTCTTCGAAAGTTTGATGCCATGAGAAGAAAGGAGAATATCCAGGCTCAACAGCGACTTGCGAAGAATGGAGAACATACTGCTCATGTTTCATTCAAACCTGAATTCGTGGAACTTCAGAAGATGATCATTGAGCAACGAAAAGAATCGGAAACCAATAAACTCTTCGCCAATGCCATGTCCAAGACCAAAGGATCATCATCCACAGTGCCACGTGTCAAGCCAGACTACTCCAAGTTCAAAATCGTCAAAAGATCGAAGATGTCGTCTACATCACCATCATCTTCAAGCAGTTCATCGTCCACCTCTTCTCCAAATCAATAACGACAGCCGCTTTAATAATTTTCCTGTACAATCTTTCTATCTTTTGTCTCTTAATCATAATATCCTATTTCTTGTAAATCTGTCTGTTTTTTCCTAATCTTTCCATCTAATAAATTAAATATACCAAGTTCCTTTGATTTTTTGAACCTTAAAGACTTCAGCCGCTTAACTACATGTGGTGCAACACATATATTTATCAAACAAGATTTTTTTTTTGAAAAGATCAAAAATTCATTAAACAAGCAGAAAATAAAAAATAATTCTAGTGCAAATTTCCAATTGTTTCTCGAAAATACCAATCCTCCATAGTTTTTGGTTCACAATTCAGACACATCCATTCCAGACCACATTCCTGAAATTCAAGTCTCGCCTTTAGTTTTCAGTTTTCAGTTACCGTATCCTCCACATCGATATCTTCTTCGTTGGTCATTCGAATCGATACTCCACATTGCGAAAACTTTACAAACATTGCCTTTTTTGAATCAATCGGAATTTTTATGAATTGATGGGTCGAAAACTCTATGAATGTCGAATTTTGCATTCCACTGCCAGGACCACTGAACTTCTTTTGTGGGTCAGCCACGTGGAGACCAGGAAACCAATGGAATTTTTCGTTTGGCCAAGACTCAAGAAGAGCTATATATGGATACAATTCAATGTGTGTAGTTGCAATTATGTGTTCTTGAGCTGAAAAACTCCTTTTCTAGTTTAGTGTTATTCTGGCCAGAAAAGTCCAAAGGTCCCACAGTGAAAATTACCGTAACCTAAACATTTTTTTCGGTAAAAATTTTTTTTCTTAGATTTTTTTACCTTTTCAGGTTTTTCAGCTATTTTTCAAGATGTTTTTTTCGATTTTTTCCGGTTTTTTCTCTGCAAATTTTATGGATCATGGTTTTGGTAACTGAAGATTACTGTAGATTACTGTAGAAAACTTTTCTTTGTATTCTTTTAGGCAAACACAATCACGTCAAACTGCAGATAAATTTTACTTGCAAAAAACTACAAAATACAAGGTTTTCTACAGTACAGTACAGTAAAGTACAGTAATCCGGAACACCATTCCGTCAAGTTACAGACAAAGAAAAAAGAAAAAATCGAAAAAAAAATCTTCGAAAATAGCTGAAAATCCTAAGAAGGTCCAAAAATTTTGCAAAAAATCGGAGAAAAAATTAATTGTTATTCTCGAAAATCCAAAAAATTCGGAAATAAATTCGCAAAAAATCATGAAAAATGACCAAAAATGGTTTTTTTTCTCGATTTTGAAACTTTAATTTATCGTTTTTTTTGGGGTGAAAATAACTGAAAACTCGACAGAAAGCAGTGAGAATCAAGAAAATAATTACGGAAAGTAAACGTATTTTTAGGTTATGGTAGTTGTCGTTGTGGGACCTTCGGTCACGGTCACAGCTTCGATTGTATTTGTACAAGCATAAAAAGTACTTAAAAAACTAACCTCCTTGTTTTGAATTCCATCCGGAAACATTGAATCCTTTGAACCAATCATATCCGGTCCAGTTTTTCGAAATATCCTTTTTCCAGGTGCGAATCAAAATTTCAGACGAAATATTTTTAGTTTTCAGAGCATTTTTGGTTGCTTGAAAGGATTTCCCAGACAGAATAACCTTTTTTGGAACTGCTTTGGACAGTTTTTCTCCGACGATTTTCAATATTTCATCACCACTTTTTAACTCATCATTCTCGATTAAACAACTCTCAATTTCCAATTTTCGAGCGAAAATTCCATTGAAAAAGTTTCGAATTTCCTCTAGAAAATTTGCAGATTTCAAAATCTTTGTTTTCAGACCACATTCCAAATTCTGACTTCTGAAACGTCGTCGATCGTTAGGCCTTCTATGAGTTTCTGTGATCTCACCTGTATATTTCTACGTCTTCTTCCTTTATTATATCAATTCTCAGAATTTCTGAAGTATTCTCAATTATGATTAATGTCACATGGTCCGATGAAATATTGATTTTTAGAAAAGGAATATTCGTTTTCGGAGTTTCCACAGCTTCTTGATCTGACTTTGAACACAAACGAACGTTGTTACTGGAATTTCCTTCGATTCATAAATTCCTATTACTCTGGTACAAAAAACCGGAGCTGCGAAGGTCTATCGACAACTACAGTAACCTAAAAACTTTTTTTTCCATGTTCATTTTCTCGATTCTCACTGTTTTTCGTCGAGTTTTCAGTCATTTTTCAGCCCGATAACCGAATTTTCAGCTATTTAATATTTTCAAAATTTTCGGATTTCTTTGGTTAAAAAAATGATTTTTTACTATTTTTTTCCTGTGATTTGCTCATTTTCAGACATTTTTTTTGCAAAACTTTCAGATCTTTTTAGGATTTTCAGCTATTTTCGAAGATTCTTTTTCCGAATTTTTCCTCTGAAATTGGACGGGATGGTGTTCTGGATTACTGTAGAAAACCTTTTAGTTTGTAGTTTTTCGCGAGCATATCTACCTTTTGACGTGTTTGCAAAAAAAAATACAAAAGGAAATAGGTTTCCTACAGTAATCTACCGTAATCAAAACGCCGTTCCATCAAATTTTAGATGAAAATACCAGAAAAATCGGAAAAGAATGTCTGAAAATAGCTGAAAAACCTAAAAAGGTCTCAACATTTTGCAGAAAAAGTCGAAGAAAAATCAATTTTTTTTCTCGAAAATTTTTTTTAATTCCCCCAAAATTAAAAAAAAAGCAAAGAAAAGGTGAATAATGACCAAAAAATGGATAAAATAAATCTGAAAATGGGCAAAAATGTCTAAAATTATAAAAATAGTCCCAAAATCACAGAAACAATGTAGGTTACGGTATTGTCGTTGTGGGACCTTCTGATTTTTTGTACCAGAGTAAACAAACTAAAAATTACCTTGAAAAAAAACCAGTGAATTTCAGCACCTCGGATTTCACTTCAATCGGAAGAATAGACCACGAAGTCATGCTGTTGAAAATCAAACTGACTAAAATTTTCAGTTTCTATCAAAATCATATTGTCAGAGAATCGATCATTAAAAAGGCGTTTCTTGTGTAAACAAACACTTTTTGAACTTTTAGACTTGATTTTTTAGAAAAATGTGTTTACTTTTGAGAGATTGAGATTCAAAAAAAAGAAGAGAAGTGAATACATATAAAATAAATAGGAGATTTCCAATAGAGTTATTCCTCTCCACGCCGTCTCTTTGCCATCTTATTCCTGGGATCAGTGATATGATACCAGTCTTCACTCTCCTCTCGCATATTCGCATCTTTTGCTTTCGACGATAGCTGGACATCTTCTGCTTTGAATCGATGAGACATCCACGATGTTCCTTGAAGATCTTCTGCATCCAAATCCATCGTTCCAAACTTTTTCTCTTCACCTTCGTCATCTTTATTTTTCACGGGTTCCTCTTTTAACTGAATCTTTCGATCGAATAGAATCGCTTCTTGGTTAGATGCTCCCAGACGATTCTTGAATCTTTCCAGCATCTGCATTGTTTGCCCTTCTCGTTGAGCATCTTTTTGTTTCACAACATCTTTGGTTTTCGATTTAAATCTCATTTTGAGATCATGATAGGATTGCATCGCTTCTGAAAGTGTCTCATTTTTCTCTTTCTTTTTCTTCTCCTTCACTGGTCGCAATGCCTTCATGTACTCTTTTTGCATCTCTTTCAGCTCCGAATTCATTTTGTCACTGGAAAAATGGAAAATTATGACATTTTACATATTTTTAGAAGTTTCCCTTACATTTCTTCCCTCTCTTTTGCCTTCTTCTCATCCTCAATCATCTGTTCGTAGTCTTCATCTTCTCCAGCTGGTTTTTCTTCGAGCTGAAATAGAATTTGCATATCAAATTGCGGATAATATTATACTAGTACAAGAAATCGAAATCCCTCAACGACAACTACAGTAACCTGAAAATATTTGTATTTTCCGCAATTTTTTCTCGATTCTCACCGATTTTTGTATCGAGTTTTCAGTCATTTTCAGCCAGATAATCGAATCTGCAGCTAGTTTAGGTTCAAAACGAGTCTAAAGCGTTTTTCTTTGAATTTTTTTGGATTGTCTTAAATTAAAAAAAAGGTTTTACTATTTTTTTTGTCATTTTTGTACTATTTTAATGATTTTAGACATTTTGCTCATTTTCAGACTAATTTCAGCCATTTTTTGATCATTTACATGATGATTTGAAAATTTTTTTTCCTAATTTTTAGAGAATTTTTCACAGATTTTCATGGATTTTCGGGGAAAACAATTATTTTTTTTTTCGATTTTCTGCAAAATTTTTAGACCTTTTCAGGATTTTCAGCTATTTTCGAAGATTCTTTTTCGATTTTTCCGGGTTACAAATTTGATGAAACGTTGTTTTGATTACTGTAGAAACCTGATTTCTTTATTTTTTCTGTAAACACAATAACGTCAAAATGCAGATACAAACGTGATTTAAGTTGCAAAAAAACTACAAACTACGAGTCTCGTCAAATTTCAGACAGAAAATTTCGGAAAATCGAAAAAGAATCTTCGAAAATAGCTGAAAAACCTAAATAGGTCTAAAATTTTGCGAAAACTCTAAGAAAAAAATCAATTTTCTTTCTCGAATTTCGTGCAGTTTTCGTTACATTTATCATTATCCGAAGCTTTAATTTTCCGACATTTTTGGGGAAAAATAACGGGAAACTCGACGAAAACCAGTGAAAATCGAGAAAATAAATCCGGAAAATAAGAATATTCATAGGTTAGGGTAGTTGTCGTTGTGGGACCTCCAGAAAAATAGTAGACACCCTACCTTTCTCTTCTGACTTTTCTTCATCAACTTCTCACGAATAGACGAAATCGAGGAGGCATCCCTGACGACGTCATCATCTTCTGGACAATAATTGCTCATCTCATCCCGAGTTACTGCCGCCTGCTTTGACAATCCTACTGTATCATTGTCATGTGCATCATGAGCAGACTTTGATTTATTTCCGGTTTTCTTCTTGAAAATTGTCAATTCCTCCTCATCCTCATCAGCTTCATCTCCGAATGAGAGCAGATTCGTTTTCTTCGTTTCCACAACCTTCGGCTCTTTTTTTCGTTCACTTCTTTCTTTCTTCTTCTTCTCTCTCGGCTTTATGTCATCAAATGGATTATTGTCAATTCGAGCGCCAGTGATCTTGTACTGTGTCACTGGCCGATCTCCTTCTGTCTCCACTTCCGTGATTTTTAGCATATTGAATAGTGTTGGACCTGTCACTTTTCCGAATACCGTGTGCTTTTTGTCGAGTTCCGGAGCTCCGCGATCTCCAATCGTGAAGAAGAACTGAGATCCATTGTCATCTCGACCAGCGTTCGCCATTCCAACGATTCCGCGACGATTGAATTTGAGACGTTGGTGGAATTCATCCTTGAATGGCTTTCCGTAGATACTTTCTCCGCCAGTTCCTGAATTCGTCGGGTCTCCTCCTTGTAGAATGAAATCTGAAAAATATTGAAATTTTGAATTTCGTAGTTGCAATTTCAAAAACTACTTTTAACAAGGCGATGGAAAGTTGTTCCTTTGTAGTAATTCTCCATGCACAACTGAATGAAATTCCGGCATGCTAGTGGAGCTTCTTTCGTCCATAATTCAATTTCGATATCTCCGGCGGTGGTTTCAAGTGTGACCTGGAACATTTTCGCTTTGAAAGCTTTTGAAAGAAATTAATACTCACCTTTCCTGTTGTAATCGGCTCGTTGATATACTGGCTACTCATCTGGAAAAATATCTTTCATTGGAGTAAAATTGCGCGAGGTATCACAATAAAAATGTTCAAAACCTCTTTTTCTCACAATTTCCGATACTCAGCGGTGTCTGAAAAATTAATTTTAGAAAAACTGTTTTCTTTTTCGAAAATGGGTAGAGAAAAAATTCTCTATTTTTCCGCGCCGCAGTCTTGCGTCGGCGACGCCCCGCCCACTTTTCCGCGAGCGCAGTTTTTTTTGTGAAAAAACGGCGCAAAAATGGGCTGTAATTCGGGAAAAAGCGAATAGTTTTTGATGAAATTTCGGAAATATGCTAATTAGGAAGAGGAGATCAATTAAAACATTCCCACACAGCTGAAAATATTCACACAGCTACAAACAAATTCGCATCATTCTGAAAATCATCGATTCGGCAAGAAGCTTATTTATTTTCCAAAAAAGAATGAAGAAGAGAAAATACATGGTTTAGAATACATAAGCTGCTATTTTCTACACTGTAGACATCGAAAATTCTGACTGAGAAGAAATAAGGTGCGATAACGAGCAAATAAATTAAGATCTGGCGTTGATGATCTTGACGAAATCAGGCTTCAACGAGGCTCCACCGACCAGGAAACCGTCAATGTCTGGCTTCTTTCCGAGCTCTGCGGCGTTATCGGCAGTCACGGATCCTCCGTAGATAATGCGGGTGGCATCCGCCACGGCTGGAGAGACCTTCTCTTTGAGGAACGCACGGATCCATTCATGGACCTCTTGAGCTTGCTCCGGCGATGCAGTCTTTCCGGTTCCGATGGCCCACACTGGTTCGTAGGCGATCACGATATTTTCCCAGCTGACTCCCTTATCAACGATGGCTTGGAGCTGACGGAAATTCACGTCCTTTGTGTGTCCAGCTTCACGCTCCTCGAGTTTCTCTCCAATGCAGAAGATAACCTTGATTCCAGACTCAAGAGCGTGGACAGTCTTCTCGGCGATCAGCTGAAACGAATAGGCATTAGCCAAGTCAAAAATCATGAGCAATATTTTCTTACGGCATCACTCTCCCCGAAGACGTGGCGACGCTCAGAATGGCCAAGGATGACCCATTCCAATCCGAGATCCTTAATCATGGCTGGCGAGATCTCTCCGGTGAATGCTCCTTTTGCTGTCTTGTAGCAGTTCTGGGCAGCAACGAGCACTCCAGCCTTCAAGTTGGCTTTGGCATACGCCAAGTATGGAGCTGGTGGCGCGACTACGACGTCGACGTTGGAGTTGTCTGGAAAAAAGGAATTTATATTTAGAATACTGCACGGAGCGTGTGCTTACCGGCGGATTGGTTGAGGAAAGCGACGATTCCATCGACGGAGGCGAAATCGCCGTTCATCTTCCAGTTTCCTCCGACGAAGAACTTGCGAGCCATAGTTTCAGCGGGTTCTGAAAAAAAGAAAGAAGTCTGAATAGAAGAATAGTGACGCAAATGACTTCCGAAAGTCACCGAGAAACATCAGAGAACAATTTTTAATCAAGCGATCAATATATGATAAGAAGACAAGATAGAATAGGACAACATCAACGAAAAAAACTTTGTTTTGATGCAAAATCGAGGCGAGAAACGAAGCGCGATGAGTGTGTGTGTGGGTCAGTCGATTTTTCTCGGCAAGACAATTGAGAAGATGTGAAATAGCTCAAAGCGTGGAGAGACGCAGAGTGGTCAGAGTGAAAGTTGGCACGTATTTTGTGTTGATGTTCTCTGAGTGTGTGAATTGGAATGTGTGCCAGGAGCAGAGAGTTATAAACCGCCGGATTTGAAAAAGATTTGGGAAAAAAACAGCATCAATATGACACTACCCACAATATTTATGCCCACATTCAGTATAGGAAGTTGTATTGATGTGGAGACCACTTTTTTATTTCCTTCTGAAAACAAATTCTGGAGAACATTTTGATTTTCAAAATTCAACCAGAAATCCCACTTTCCGATCAAAAAAAAGCGCGAACATTTTGGCGAAAAAATTGACAAAAAGATTTCGAAAATTCAAAAAAAACCTTTCACAGTAATTCTGCTCGAGAACCGCAGGGGGACTTTTCGTGTGCGCCTTTGACATACCGTATTCTACAAACTCCGGAAAAAAATATTTGGAAAGATTCGATCGAAATTCCGAATCAGCACGGTATGTCAAGAAGCCTCGCAGGAAAACGCGCCCCGGCGAACTCGTAGGCCAGAAGAAATTTTATAATTTTGAAGTGGACGCAGATTTGATCTATTTATTAGCAATAGATCGAATCAATGCGCGTTTTTTTCGCTCATCGTGCAAAACTTTGATCCTCAGCCAGCGAGACTCGGCAGCGAATTCAGCGAGATTTTGGGGTTCGCTGGGGCCCGTTTTTCCATACTTGTAACGGGCCGGGCCGGGCTTTTTCCCGAATTTCGGAGGCCCGGCCCGGCCCGGCGGGCCTGTCATTCCACAAGTTTGAAAATTTCAAAAAACACATAAGGGAGGACCCTTATGTGATTTTTTTCGAACAAAAAATTTTTCTCGAGTTTTTTTTTGATATTTTTTGATCAAACAGACAAACAATCCAAAAAGCACAAAAAAATAGAATATTGCATTGAGAGCTCAAAATTCGGTTCAAAATGACAAAATTTTTGCTACCGGGCCTTGAAATTTTCCTCAGGCCCGGCCCGGAACGGGCCCGGGCTTTGGCGGGCCGGCCAGGAATGTTACAAGTATGCGTTTTTCGACCAGGCTTCCTGACACAGCGTGAATCAGGGATGTTCGGAATGATCTTTTCGGATTTTTTCAAAGTGTCGAAAATTCCGATTACAAAAGTTTCGGAATAATTTCGGAATCTCGAAACGATTTTTAAAATTTCGAAAATTTAAAAAATTCAAATTTCAAAGTAGAAATACTATATCCAAAAACGCCGAAAATTGGTGAAAAAAGACAAACAGATTTCGAAAACGCAGAAAAAGTAATTCCGCTCGTTACCCACAGGGAGACTTTTCGTGTGCGCCTTTGATAAACTGTAGTCCAAAACGCTCTAATTCCGGGAAAAAACGATTGAAATTTCCGAAGTCCATTCCGAGCATCCCTGTATTCAGCTTGAATTTGAAAAATCTCCATTTCTTGGAGATCTCTGAAATTCCGAACATTTCATTTGTCTCAAAATAATAATTTAGATGTTACTCTAATTATTTGTTGGGAAAGAATTTCGGAAAACAACTATGATGTAATTTTGTTCACATGACTGGATTAACTCGAAAAACAACTGCAAAAGAGCTGCAAAATACTAATTAGGATATGTATTTGGTAATGTTAAATTAAAAATTCCAGCTGCTTCAGTTTTTTTTTTTCTCATTCACTTGATTCTGGCAAAATCATGAACTATATACACATTTTTGCCTGAATAACCAGTTAAAAAATAGAAGCTTGCTACCTCTGAATAACCCCCATAATGATTTTGTTTCAAACAGTTTTGGTTTTCCTTTGTGCTTTGTCTACAAAATTCGTATTTCGAAACGACGAAACTCTCCTCCGCTACTCTTTCTTTCCTTGCGATGATAGTAGTAGCCGTTGACTAAAGATCAAAGAGCAAAACGTAAATTGTGCAAAAATTACATCGAAAATCATCGAAAACGGGCGGAAATGACCGGAAACTCGGTTGAAAAATGACCCATTTCCTGGAAAAAAAAGGAGATTTGGCACGCTGCCAAGAAGCGCGCGTTAGAGCGCATTTTAGTTGTTTGTGTTTTCCCCCCCATTTTTTTTCAATTTTTCTCCATGAAAAGCGCTCTGAAAAGCTTCTTTTACAAATTTAAGAAAAAGAAAATGTGTTTCTGAATAGAAAAAAGAAAAATTCTTCCTTATGTTTTCATTCGTTCCATACACATAATGTCGTCATTCTAAAAAAACATCTGTATGAAAGCACCATTTTTCTTTGTCACAAGGTGTTGGCGAATAGCCAACTTTTTGATCCCGTCACCTGATTTGTCTTACCGTTTTTCTCTGCGCCTCAACACATTTTTATGAACTTTCCGAAAATAAATAAAGACAAAAAGAGAGAGAGAGAGAAATGTATGTATTTCGTAATGAGGATTTATGTTTGGTTTCCGGTTTGTTGATTGTCGAATGAATCATCTATGGCCCACTGTATATAACACATTGTTCATCTCTTCCTACTTTCAGATGTGCTAAAACACAACGTCATATATTGAAATCTACGGAAATGCAGATACCTGGAAAGGTGAGGATTTTATTCTTGAATGTAAGGATTTTGGGATTTTCAGGTGCTTGTTGAGCCACGAGACTATCGGTCCTTTTGTTTTCGTGGAGAGGGAAGAGCCAATTTTGTTATCAGCGCGAGACACAGATTGACAGGAGTCAGGTATGAATTGCCTTATTTCGTGCAGAATTCTATGTAGATTCACATTAAAAAGTGAAACAATTCAAAAAAAAATCCTAAAATGCGAAAAAAAACCGCATCGAAAAAGCAAAGTGGGATGGTGGCCGAGCGGGGGTTTCTAGTCCCTTTGCTACGAAGAAGCGCACGAATTCGAATTTTTCCTCGTTTTTCAAGGTTTTTGTTAGTTTTTATCCCAAATATCTCGAAAACCTGAAAAAAACAATAACCTGAAAAAAAAACAATTTTTTTCGATCATAATAATAATAATAATAATATATTTATTTGCAATGCATGGGGGGAAATCGATAGATAATTTGACAAGAAATGGGACCTGTAAAAATAAAAAAGTAAAATGACCAGACGGACCGACTAGAGTCCTGTAGGTCAAGTGGGAGGGATCAGAATATCATAAGGAATCGCTCCTACTCGCTTAGCAAACGCCACCGGACTGAGCTTAGAATTTATCACCTTACATACACGGTTCCACATAGACAAGTTTCTGTGAAGGAAGCAGTCAAAGTATTGGCCGTTGATTTTGAACAAATACGGGGCTCTGTTAGAATGGCTGAGAAGTATGTAGGACGACATAGAGGGTGTGAGTTTATAACAATTTTGTGATATTTTGTGATTCAAAAATTTGTTTTCGAGTTTTTCCGATTTTTTTTATCGAACAGACAAACAATCCAAAAAAACGAAAAAAAAATGAAAAAATTATATTCAGAGCTCAAAATTTGGCTCAAAAATACAGGATTTCTTATACCGGGCCGGCCCGGAATTTTACAAGTATGCATTTTAGGAATTTTTCCGCTATTTGTATGTGAATAAACAATTTTTTGTGAATAGGCAAAAATATCAAAATTCTTATATGACAAAAATCCAATTTCAGAATAGTATGGAGGTTTGCGAAAGCCCGAAAAAGCGGTCTTCTGACAGTGAAGGCGAGAAGTGAGCTGGTGAACAGCTATATGGAACGAATTGTTGCCCCATTCTTCGATGAGCAATATCTAGTTGGCATGAATATCGTTGAGTTTGACACGGTGGATGTGCATCAACTCGCCAAGATTCCCAGTCTTCCTGCCAATCAGAAAATCGAAACTTTCGAGGAATTATTTGATTTGCCGGATGAGTACTCATTCTTGCCACTGAACACATTTCAGAGAGTACATGGAACAACAATTCTGACGAATCCGAAGAGATTGACTTCGTTGCAAATGTTGGATGCTACTCAACTACCAACGACGATTTCAGACGAGGGCCATAGTTCGACGATTACTGTTGAAATCAAACCAAAACAAGGATTCTTCCAACACCATCCGAATGTAAATGTTGCCCATTGCAATAATTGCATTCTTCAAATCGAAAAGTCCTGTGGACACTCTCATTTCTCGGAAATGTACGACTTCTGTCCAATGGATTTGTTCTCGGGAAACTACTCTCGAATGCACAAAGCGATCCATTCCCTCTTCTTGGTTCCGCATCGAAATTTGAGAATTTTCATCGATGGAAATCAAGTGCATTCGGATGAAAAACCACTGGAAGAGGCCGTTTTCTCGGAAACTCTGTTCCCCAGAAACGAGGCGACGTCAGAGGATTTGATTTCTGCTGTGAGTTTATTTGAAATTTGGAATTCATTATATTTTCCTGGTACAAAAATCGGAGCTGCCGGAGGTCTCACAACGACAACTACCGTAACCTAAAACTTTAGCGACTTTTCGAGAGAAAAAATTATTTTTTATGTAGTTTTTGAGAATAATTTTTAGACCTTTTTAGGTTTTTCAGCCATTTTCAAAGACTCTTTTCGATTTTTCCGGTTTTCTGTCTGAAATTTGATGAACCGTTGTTTTGATTACTGTAGATTACTGTAGAAACCTAATTTCCGTTTATTATTTTTTTTGTCTGCATTTTGACGTGATTTTGCTTGCGAAAGAAACTAAAAACTACAAGATTTTCTACAGTAATCTACAGTAATCTTCCGTCAAGAACACCATCCCCCGTCGAATTTCAGACAGAAAAATTCGGAAAAATCGAAAAAGACCCTTCAAAAATAGCTGAAAAACCTAAAAGGGTCTAAAAATTTTGCAAAAATTCGAAGAAAATATTCATTTGTTTTCTCGAAAAATCCCAAAACATTATGTTAAAAATTTCCCCGAAATTCGAAAAAAAATCATTGAAAATGACAAAAAAAAGGCTAAAATTACTCTGAAAAAGGGCAAAAAAAGTCTAAAATCATCAAAATAGTCCAAAAATCACAGAAAAAAGGAGAACCATTTTTTTACTAAAAAACAATCCAAAAATTCAAAGAAAGACGCTTTATGCTCATTTTGAATTAAAAATAACTGAAAGTTCGCTTATATGGCTGAAAAATGACTGAAAACTCGGCAAAAAATCAGTGAGAATCGAAAAAGTGAACACGGGAAATGAACATATTTTTAGGTTACGGTAGTTGTCGTTGCGGGGCCTTCGACACTTTCTTTTACACATTTTTCCGATTTTCTACCAGAAAAAAAACAATTGAGCAAAAATCAAAACCATATATTTCAGCTGTGCCTCGCTCTATCTGGAAATCAATCAAAAAAGAAGTTCCGCCTTCGAAATTCGTCAGTCCTCGGACAAATTCTTCGAGCACAGAAGGTTGATGAAATCGGAATCGTTCAAGCACATGCGATTTACGATCGAATGGATCATCACACGAAAACTGCGCTCCTCGATAAATCTTCGTTGACAAGAGCTGGATTGGAAGCGATTTTGGAACGAAAATCGTTGGAAAATGAGCATCTTCTGCAACAACTTCGACGATATTTCCTCGCTGCCACTATGAAAGATTGCTCGGTAAATATAAATTTAGAAAAAAATGTATTTAATCAATTCAAAACAATTATTTTAGATTATGATCTCTCTTCGATTAATCCAATCATGCCCAAGCCCACGTCGAGATATCATTCGACTTCCCAACGGCCGAGTTTTCGCCTTCACCATAAAAATTGTCGATTTGGATCCCAAAACTGCTAAAAATTTGATCAACTGTCACCCTCGTTTCATGTCTGGAGTCAAGATAATTCGTCTGGATCAGGAATCCGCGGAACATGATCGAAAATTCAAGCCATGCGTTTAAATATACTGTTTCTGTTGATTTTTTGTTGCCTTCACACTTTCTCATTGATTTTTGCTGCTCGTTTTAATAATTTATTTACTACAAAATCTCCGCCTCACACTTCATTGTGATATAATGCTATTTACCCGTATCCCACTGCTGAAACATATCCAAATTCATCCCTTCCCCACTAGTTCCTGGTCAGATCTTCCTCTTCTTCACGCTTACAGTTCCTTCTTCAAGTGATTATACATTACTTTCCTATCGCATAATCGAAACCTTGTCCTTGCCGGTGTTTCTTAAAGATAAAATGCATTCAAATATATTTTCAGAAGAGACTTTTGTAGCGTAGAAGTTTCGCATGATTAGTTCTTTGGGTTTTCAAGAAACCAATTTTTAAAAATTCGGAATCTCGGATCTTTCCGACTTTTAAAAATTCGGAATTTCAAAAATTTTCAAAGTTGAAAACGAGAAAGTACTTTTCAGCATTCTCAAAGTCTTAAACGACGACATCTGAGGTGAGCTTTGGTTTAAAATTGGCAAAAAGAAGCAAACAGATTCCCACGAACACGAAAAACCGCTATGCGGAGCCGCGACGCGTCCAATCTTGGCAAAAAACTTGGCACCAGAGATTTTTCAAAATTTCCGGTTTTCAAAAAATCGGAATTTCCCGGTTTTCAAAAATTCGGAATCTCGGAATTTTCCGTTTTTTTTTAAATTGTGAATTTTTCGAAAATTTTGATTTTTAGGATTTTTCTGATTTTTAAGAATTCGGAATTTTGAAATTTTAGGAACTTCGGAACCTCGGAATTTTTCGATTTTGAAATTTTCGGATTTTAAAAATTTCAGAATGTTGAAAATTCCGATTTTCAAAAATTTGGAGTTTTCCGATTTTGTAATTTTATGATGTTCGGAATTTTCCGATTTTCAAAAATTCGGTTTTTTGAAATATCGGAATTTTCCCGATTTTGCGATTTTGAAAATATCGATATTTTGGATTTTTCTAAAACTGATTTTGAAAAATTCGGTATTTTTCGATTTTGAAATTTTAGGAATTTCAGAATTTCTCAATATTCCGATTTTGAAAAACACGGAATTCTGGAGTTTTCCAATTTAGAAAATTTCTGATTTTAAAAATTTCGAAATGTTGAAAATTCGGATTTTAAATTTTTTGGAATTTCGGAATCTCGGAGTTTTCCGATTTTCAAAAATTCGGTTTTTAAAAATCTCGAAATGTCGAAAATTATTTAAAAAATATTTTTTTTCGGAATTTCGGAATTTCCCGATCTCCAAAAAATTCAAATTTATTTTTTCTTCGCGACATACTGTAGTCCAAAAATTTCTAATTCCGAAAAAAAAGGTTCGGAAAAATTCCGATCGGAATTTTCGGAATCCCGTAGAACCGCAACGCGTCCAAACTTGGCACGCAACCAACTTTTTCAAATCAAGGATCCCCTATCCATTAACATTTTTTCATCATCTTTTGACATAGAATATTGGAACCGACGCGAAAATTTCAAAACGTGAAAAGGGGTCATATGGTTCTCTTCCACTGATTTTCTGATGCAATATTTTGTAGCCTGATGAAACGGCAAAAAGGAATAACTTCATATCTTCAAAACAAAAAATGTATCGCGCCCCACTCAAAGATCAAACAATCAGCAGGACCCCCACGTGGGTCTCGATTCGGTCGGTCATCGTCATCGACCTTCTCTATCCGTTAGAAGAGGTTCTCCATCATCGTTTTCAAATTCCCTATCATCTCTTTCACTTATTTCTATTTGGATCCCCAATCGGAGAGTGTGTGGTTTGTAGTGGTCGATCAGGGTGACGAAACGGACGATGGGAATTGCAAAACAAAAAAAAAAGCGGTGAAGAGAAAGAGAGAGGGGAACTAGAAATTGTGATTTTCTCACGTAGTGAGATTTATGACAACCGCGTAGGCTTACGGTTTCTGAAAAAGGATTTTTCCTGCGAGAAGAATCAAAGACTAGGTCGAAACAGCCCAAAATCGGAGCTGTGGTAGAGAAACGCCGGTGGCCGTGGCCGAAGATCCCATAACTACCGTAACCTAAAAATATGCTTATTTTCCGTTTACACGAATTTTCAGTTTTTTCCCCGAGAAAGTCGGAAAATTGAAGTTTTTGATTGTGAGAAAAGTGACGGAAACTACACGAAAATCGAGAAAATAAATCCAGAAAAAAGGTAACTTTTAACTATTTTCAATGATTATAGGCACCTTTTGCTCATTTTCAGACTAACTCTAGCCATTTTTTGGTCATTTTTATGATTTTTTGTCCAATTTTCAGGATTTTTTGCGTTCTTTGTTCGAATTCCGGGAGAATTCTTTTCAGAATTTTTCGGATTTTTCGTGAAAAACAAATTATTTTTTCTTCGATTTTTTGCGAAATTTTTAGACCTTTTAGGATTTTCAGCTATTTTTGAAGATTCTTTTCCGATTTTTCGGTTTTTTTGTTCTGAAATTTAACTGGATGGTGTTCCTGACGGTAGATTACTGTAGACTACTGTAGAAAAACTTGTATTTTGTAGTTTTGTTTTGCTAGCAAAACCACGTCAAAAAATTCAAAAAGAAATTATGCCTCTCTCAGTAATCTACCCACAGTTATCCTAACAACGTTCCATCAAATTTCAGTCAAAACAACCGGAAAATCGAACTTCGAAAATAGCTGAAAAACCTGAAAAGGTCAAAAAATTTCCCGAAAATCAAGCAAAAACCAATTTTCTCTCGATTTTCGTCCATTGCATCTCTTTTATAAATATTAAAAACTTCAGTTCCCCGACTTGTTTTTGGAAAAAATAACTGAAAAACTCTACGTAAATCAGTGAGAATCGAGAAAATGGACGCGGAAAATTATATTTTAGGTTACTGTAGCTGGCGCTGTGGGACCTTCGGCCACGACCACAGCTTCAATTTGTTTGTACCAGAATAACAATGGCCAATCAAGAAGAAGGCAACCTGGAATCATCACAAACAGTTCTGAAAGATATGATCTGAAATTTTTCGCCCCATTCTTGAATCGTTTCCCCTTAAGACTCAGTTCAGATAATTCCTGAAAAATCGGCATACCATCCTTATCAGTAATCATATGGTTGTCCCCATATAACTCTCCTCGTGTTCCTCTTTACGCTTTCAATTTAACATCTTCCTTCTGAACATGTCTCATGCCGATTGTCACGTGGTACCATCAGTTTCTCTAAGTCTCTAACTGTAAACTGTTCAAGAAAAAAGTGCTATTACATCGCCTGCTGCCACGTCATCAATCCATGTTCTCTACTGATGCAATCCTTGGTCTTTGTCAACAAAAGAAAGGGGGAAAAAGAAATTAAAGACAACTAATTCGATGATTACAGTAATCTATTGATGTCACAAAGACACGAAACTGTAGTCTTCTCTGTATGCTCCACTGATCTTATCAGTAACTGACCAGCCAATCAATGGTCAGATTTGATAGATAAGGCGAGAATTGTGTTCAGTGTCTCACACGGTTCTGCACTTGTTGACAAGATGTTGTTATGGGGTGACATCCATAGAAAATTCGATTAATTAAGGATTTTTTGTTTTCAAATCCTTCCATTTCTCAATTAACCTAGAAAATCTGCAAAGATTCTCTAGTTTTACAGAGAATGTGGCCACTTGACTCCGCCCCCTTTTCTCTGTTTATCAGTTTGTTTTCAAGTTCCGTTTCTTCTCAAAAATGAAACCATGAAAACCAGTTTCACTGATAGAAGGACAATATCATTTCCATTTCATCTGATCTTTCGGATTTGATGGACCGCTCGTGACATTGACCATCTGACCTGGATGGGGGCCTGAATTCTCACCCCTCCCCCAGAATGACAACCTAATATGCTGTCGTTTTTATCATTTTGTGATATGACAGCTTCTCTTCCTCTTCCTTATTGGTTGATCTTTTCTTATTATCCTGATTATTATTCTTTTTTCCTACACCAAACAATATATACCGTAAAACCTGGAATAGAGTCAATTTATCTCGATTCCTGTGAAATATGTTGAAAAATTGTCAACTGATAAAGTGTTTGTGATATTATAATGAAAATTTTATCCCTTGAAAGATTTTTGACATCTTTTATAGCACCCGAGATAATTGAGCTCAAACTTGACGGTGTGAGAGCCGTTTAATTACGGGTTTTACGGTAATAAGTGTGCTGATTACGGTAACTCCAAATCTGTACATGATGCCAGAGAAGATAATTTCAACATCATCATCTTGCTATTTTATTTATTGCAAAGAAGAGTTTCTCCGAATGATAACACCCTCTTTGAGAACAACTGATAGAGAGTGTAAGATCGAGAGTCTCCAGACGACGAGACAAATCGGCAGCGTGTCAGTCTAACATCTCAGACCATTTCTATTTCGCCAGCAGCAGATATGGAGACAGTTCATCACTGTGTTCCCACGAAAATCTAGTTTTGGTTTATTATTCATTGGTCTTGTTTTTTGAAAAAAGATCTTCCTGTCTTGTTGTTTGTCAATTTTTTTTGAGTAGGACAACTTTTGTAGAGTACTGTAGTTTCTGCTGGAGCTACAGTATTCCCAGAAGCAAATTCGAAATAATTCGAAACAAGTTGTCGATCATAGATAAGACAAAGACAATGATTTACGACCGTTTTCGAACATTCTGGAATATTCTAGATAGTTTCTTGCCTTATAAAGAAAACTGCAAGTTCCGATCATCCTCCTCTGCTTGTAGCCTTTATTTTCATATTCTCTCTCTGTCTCTCTCTCTCTTTCTCTCTCTCTCTCTCTCTCTCTCTCTCTCTCCATCCCTCACCGAATCCAGTTTCAGCTCCCTACCCTCCTTCCCGAGTTGTGCCACGTGCTTGCCACGCAGGCGAATGCATCAAAAGATCCAAAAGTACAAAAACCTACCGCACTACTTTTCGCCACCCACAAAAAAGAAGCTCTTTGAGAAGTTTTCTAAAGAAACGTCCTAACCAGACCAAGACCTAGTTTCTGAAAATCCAGAAAAATGAGGATTCGCATTAGAAATATCGAACAGGTTCGTTTTAGTGTGATCTTCAAAGATTTGGGGGGCTGTTGACTAATCAGAAACCACAAAACGTGACAATGACAAAGAAAGACTTCTCCGATCTGATGATGTCATACTTCTTATCATAACCCATCTATCCTATACTGGCGATCTTTAAAGAATAAAAAGAAGGAAAACAGGTTCCTCATAACTGGGTAGATGCAAGGGACTTTTCGAGAAGAGCAAAAAAGCGAAAATTCGAATTCTATGTAGAAAAACAAACAACAAATAGAAAACATACCTTAAAACCTGTAATAGAAGGGTCTCTTAACTTCCAACTTTAACCCAATTTTTCTCGATTTCTGTCAAAGATATGAAAAAGTTGTTAACTGATAAACTGTCCATCATAATATCACCAATATTTTATCAGTTGACTCATTTTCGATATCTTTTACAGGAACCGAGATAATTGAGCTCAAACTTGACAGTGTGTGATCCCTTCTATTACAGGTTTTACGGTATATGACATTTTTGGAGAAATGACAAAATCCGTTTTTCAGGTCAATCAACACCTTCGCAACGCGTACCTGTGCAGCACCCAACCATCGGTTGCTCCAAAAGTAGTTGTAGTTCCACAGTCAACGATTGTCGATAAGGGAGAATCGAGCAGATATTGGGTCGATCCGACGAGTGAGTTACGCGCATATTGAAAACCTGGGATGTTCGGAATGGCATTCTCGGAATTTCAGACTTTTGGAATTTCAGACAATTCCGATTCTGACGAGTTTGGAATTTCAAAATATTCCTATTTTGAAAAATTGGGGATTTCAGAATATTCTGATTTTCATAAATACAGAATTTTTCGGAATCCCAGAATATTCCGATTTCGATCTTTTCGGAATTTCGGAATATTCCTATTTTCATAATTTCATTTTTCGAAATATGTCAAAACTCACATTTTTAAGTCGAAATTGGAGTTTCTCATTACAAAAGCGCAAGAAATTGGTGGAAATTTGACAAAAAGACTTGAAAAACTTCAAAAAAGATTGACCGTAATTCCGCTCGAAACCCGCAAGCGAACTGTTCGCGTGCGCCTTTAAGGTACCGTAGTCCAAAGCGGAATTCCGAATTCCTTTCCGAACATTCCTGATTGGAAACATTAAAATTGGCCTAGTCACACGAATTATGCCTTATTCCAGACCACATGAGATTGCCGAGATCCCTTGCCGCCGCCTTATACCAGACACAAAACACCCAGTCGAAAAGATCAATTGGAAATATGGAGAAGCCAAGTTTCCAGCCAAAAAAGGTTCTCATTCTGAGCAAATTGACCAGATACGAATTTGAGAAAAAGGTCCACAAAGGATGTGATGATGATCAGTTGGCTAGTATTGTAAGTTTGCTTCATCCAAATTTTTTTATATTCTTCCATGTTTCCTACAGCTGAAGAAACGAGGATCTGATTACCAACGGCTTCTTTCCAAACACAAAATTCATCATTCGTACCTAAATACACTTCAAAAGGAGCTAGAGTAAGAATAGAATATTTTATAGCTGACTTTTTATTTTACGAAATATCTTCAGAAACGCAGGAATTGAATCTCGCCTTGTCCGTCGTTTTGGATACACTCAAGAAGCTGTCGATTGGGCTGACGCTGTGTTCTCTGCCGGAGGCGATGGAACATTCCTAATGGCTTCTAGCAAAGTTCGCACAAAACACAAGCCAGTCATCGGAATCAATACGGATCCACAGGGTTCTGAAGGATACATGTGTCTGATGAGAAAACTTCCAGAAGAGAATTTATCTGGTGCTCTGAAGAAGCTATTCAGTGGAAACTTCGAATGGTTGTATCGTCAAAGAATCCGTATCACTGTGACTGGAGATGACGGTATTAGTGATGCAATTGAGCTACACGATCAACAACTGAATCGGGATCCAGCGACGACGCGATGGACTGATAATCCACGTAGTCCTGCTAGAGAGAATGATGTAGAAGAATGTATGTCACTCTCGCCGCCTGTGTAAGCTTTCAGCTCGACAATTCCTAATTGAATTTTTAATAATTTTTTAGAAAGAAACGAATGATTTCGGAATCTGAGGACAAAGCCATCGTTCCCATAGAAAAAGAAACTGTCGAACTGCCAGTTCTTGCGCTAAACGAAGTATTCGTTGGTGAAAGTCTTTCCTCTCGGGTATCCTACTATGAAATTGGCCTTAATGATGAGCAAATGCTGAAACAGAAAAGCTCGGGAATCACGATTTGCACTGGAACCGGATCCACATCGTGGCACTTCAATATCAACAAGCTGACGGAACAATGCGTTCAGGATTTGATGAAAATTGTTGCACAACACTGTAATCTCCCACAGATTCCACATGAGAATAAGAATGCTGTCAGCGAGATTTGCACCAAGTTCAATCAACAACTGATCTTTGACCCGGATAGAAGACGTAAGCTCTATCTCTCGGTCTACCTAATTTTAAATAGGATTATCTTTCAGAACTCGCATTCTCGGTTCGTGATCCAATCTTCAATGCGACATTCCCACCAACTGATCCACGTGGATTTGCCGACAAAATCCGAATCAAGAGTCGTGGATATGATGCTCATCTAGTTATCGACGGTGGCATCTCGTACCGCTTCAACGACGGATCAGAAGCGGTGATGGAAGTTCGAGATGAGGATACTCTCCGTACTGTGGTTTTTCGATGAATTCCTTCTAAAGTGTCTCATGTCCTAATTTATACCGTGTATATTGTAATTCATTGATTAATATTTGATGAAAAAACTTCTCATCCCCGATTCTTTGACAATTACAAGTAATTCTTTAAAATAGGTTTCAGAAAGTTCCAATCGGCGAGAACCTGACAGCTTAGAACGGTTGAAAATTATGAAAATTTTCGTGATTTTTTCAAAGTTTCAAAATTGAAAGATTTCAAAATTCCTATTTCGAACATTTCAAAATTTTCGAATTTTTGGGATTTTCGATGTTTTTGAAAATTCCGAAATTTTGGGATTATTGAAAATTTCTAATTTTCAGGATCTCTGAGAATTTCGATTTTTGAATTTATGGGATTTTGTAAGAATTCCTAATTTTTCGCGATTTTTAAAAACTTCGAATTTTCGGAAATTCCGCATTTTTGAGATTTTTCAAAAATTGCGATTTCATTGAAATTAAAGTTTTTGCAAAATTCAACCGTTTCCTAGATCTCTGATGGCATGGAATTCGATTCTATACCTATTATGCTTGTCTGAGAAAAAAAGGTTGAGGCGCAGAGAAAAAGTGTCTGCGTCTTCACCGTTTGTGTGCTATTTAGGATCCCGCTTCGATATCGCTACCGTATTCAGACTGCAAAAAATACTCTCTAACCCTTTTTTTTCTCAGACAAGCATAATAAATCTTTCAAAAAAAAGTGAAAAAAACCGTTAAAATCGCTTGAAAACGATTTTTTTTGGACAAGCCTTTAGATATCTTTTTATTCAGTATCAAAAATAACAAAAAACATACAAAGAACAACAAAAACCAAGAAAAACTAGGAATTTCTATCGATATCTTTTGATTTCAGCTTCCCACTGTTTGTCAACAGCTTTGTAGAGACGAAGAGCCACACGAGCATCGGTAATCTGGAAAAGTTTAACTTTTTGACTTTCAAAATTATTATTTACTCACTGAGTCGTGTTCTCCTCTCTGAATCTCAATTCCTAATACTTCCTTAGCCAACTTTTTCAGTGACGGCGTTCCTTGATGATTGGCCATATTTTTTAGAATTGTACACTTCGCGGTGTCCCGTGTCAACTTCCGTGTGTGGGTCAATTTGAGCACCTGGAACAATTGAACTCTTAGATTCTGAATAAATTCTAAATGAATGAAAACTAACTCTAAAATCATTGTGCACTGCATGTCCAACAACAACCCGTCCCTCGATGAGCTTTGAAATTTCAGTTTGTGCCTTGTCGAATGGAATGGCTTTTGTCATATTTTCCGCCCGGATCCCAGACACGGCGGTTCGAAAATCTGTCACCTTTTCGGTGGGCTTCACGAACTTGTCGTAAAGGATTTTTCCAAACTGAAAAAGTTCATGAATATTCATTGATTTCGTTTTAAAAAAGGCACCTCATTAACAACTGAAATTCTAGCGAGAATATCAGTGGTTCCACCCATTCCAGCGCCGACGTACTCACAATCGATTGCTATCACTTTTGTTGGTTCTCCTCTGAAAATTCATTTTTAAAGGAAAATTCGTTTATATATCTTACCTCTCACTATCTGCAATCACAACTGGAATATCATGATGTACTCGTTTCACTTCAGAAGCTGCTGCTAGCGCTTCTTGAGCTCTCCGCTTCCGATTTATTTTTTGTTTCTGCTTCTTCGATTGAACCTTTGTGAATCCATCTTCTCCTTCTTGCTTTTCAGCTTTCTCAGACTTCTCAGTTCTCTCCTTATCCTCTTTTTCTTCTTTCAGCTTCATTTGAAGCACCTTCCACGCAGGAGACAAATCTTTCGGATCGACAGTTTTCGCTGCATGTTTGGAAGCCATTTTACCTAGAAATAAGGGAGAACATAACAGAATACCAATAATTACGATATTTATGCAATGTTTTTACATGGAAATACCCGACAAAACAAGGAATTTTTGGGATAAAATCGGGGGAAGAAAGAAGAAAAAAAAGAAAATTTTATTGAAGTGTGCATTATGGCGTCATGGTGTACACTGCGTACTTCACAGTATAACGCACGCGCATCTCAGTTGCCCGATACGGTAGAAATTGGTGGATTGCAGCTGTTTCGACGACCATTGATACGAGTCATCCGATCATATCCCACCTGGAAAAAAAACAATAAATTAGTTTAAAGAGAGTTTAGAAGTTTTGAAACCTTCATTTCATCTGTAACACATGCGAGGAGTAGTCTCCATGCTTTGACAGTCTCGTGATTGAACTTGACGACGTCTTGAGATCCAATTATGAACACTGAGATTTCTCCGAACTGCTCAATCATCGCTCCAGTGAATCCACTTTCAGCCATCTGAAATAACAAGAATAAGGTTCAAACAAGTCAAATGAATCACCTGCGCGTGCTTCTCTCCATAGTGTCTAATCATATTGAGTTGCTCATTGATATTATCCAAGTTATCAATTAGTCTCTCGAAGATTCCAACCATACATTTACAATGATCATGCTCAGTTTTGACGAGCGGAGGCGTCTGACGTTCGCGGCTCAATGAGTTTACGAAGGCTGTCGTCAAGAATATGGATCTAAAAGTTCAATTTCTAAATTCATAAAAGTTTCGAGACGAAGCCCTATACCTCATATCTGGACATTTGTTTTCTAGCCGTCTGAATATTTTCTCCATTAGCTTCAAGAACGTTCCACCAGAATTCATTGCATTGAAACTTTGCTGAAAATCGAAAGCTAAAAAATTACGAAGGGATATTTACCCGAAGAAGTTTTCTCTGTTTCGCTGTCAAATTGAGCTTGGCGCATCGGTTGATTTGTGGAGTCACATTGGTATCAGATAGAGATAATTGACGGGAGAGCGGCTCTCTGAAAAGAAGACAGTTTTAATTGAGATATTCCAAAATTTAGGGTTACTTTAGCTATAGTAGTATTTGTATTTTTATTTAAATATTATGCTTGTATTAAATCATCGGTGTTGTGGATAAGAAAATTGGGTGGCCGTGGTAAGGCTTCCATTCGGTCGGGAAATTTAGCCGACCGACCGACCACCGACCCCGCCGACCGACAGCAGACCGTTTTCGTGCATTTGCGCGTCAACGTGTTTGCATACGCTGCATTGTATTTTACGACAAAATACTCACTAAAAGCCTTGTTTGTAGTAAAAGAGAGTGCTTCGTACGCAAAAATTCGTGTTTTTATGCGCAAAGGCACGAAATCGGTCAG